TTTTTGTGAGTGTTCCAAGTGCTCGTAAAGAATTATCAAGAAGCGGCGACTGTGCGCATTCGTCGAAAAAACGCAGAAGATATAGGAATAGTTTAGAAAGCAGTTTCTTGTTGCCTTCTGCGAGACTAGGATGATGACACTTGATCAACCTATATAAATGCCATCAAACATGGTGCTGCTGAAAATTTATTGTCTAAAAAGACTATAAATGATTACCGTTCTAAGACGATTTCCAATTTATTGGAAGGATATTTGTCCAAAAGTCTTTTCAGGGCTTCAAAACTTGTTGGCATTTGGAATATGAAAGGGATTTGCAGGTCTTCCTCAACTAAAAGATTAGGTTCATTGTACTGGTGCCAAAGATTATCTGTAAACTGTAATCCCTTGACTTACCTATTGTAGGTACATGTTTCTCTCCGCGTTTGTCGCTCATCGTTGGTTCGATGACATGATCTCCTTCAGTACCAGCATCTTCCTCATCTTCTTCGTCTTCGTCTTCAATTTCAGCATCTTCTTCGTCACTTGCATCACCGTCCTCTTCATCGGAGCCTTCCTGCATGTTTGCATCTGCTGTTGTTGAACTTTCTGCTTGTTCATCTACAAAGTAAGCGTCTGCGTGATTAGTCCAAAAGCGTTCAAAAATAGTGTAAGCAGATATCTCAAGACGAGTGCGTGACGTCTCCATCATTTCACCATAATCATAAATCAAAAAATTCTACGGCAAAGGCTTTAAAATTATCTAAATATTTACAACATACCATCGTGCTCAGCAATCAGATCATCAAGCTCTTCCTCATTATCATCTTCAAGTTCTTCATCTGTCAACTCATCATCAGAATCAATCAAAATTCTCTTTTTGGTGACGCGTTCCACCTAACAGGAAGATAGTTAATGTTTTCTCAGTGCTAAAATTGATCTCCAACCTTATCTTTGTCTATCAGAGCACCAGAAGAGTCAAAGCGAACTTCAAAGCCTTCGTTTTTTGTCTTCTTCTTTGATCCACTGGAAACGTCTGCATCAGCAGAGGTGTGACCACGTTTATTTTTCTAAAAAATCAGAGAAACCACAATAATTGATCTCCAAAAAGTTTGATGGCAATTGCGCCAAAGAATGTTTGAGAGAAAGAACCTCTGCATTCATCCTTCCAAGTCTAAGTGATTCTAGTTCCTCTAGGTGATGTTTCTCTTCCGCTGCAAGCTCCTCTGCTGTTTTTGTGCGCTCAGCGGGAGTAGCGCGTGCATCAGCGTCAATTTTCAGACTTAAAGCCTGAGGAATACAAAAGTTTACAGACTTGGACACAAATCAATATAATACAGATACCAAAAAACAGCGGATAAAATTGAAGAATCGGACAAAGAATTATGCACAACTTACTAGTTGGTCATAGTCGTCTTTTTGCGCTTTCTCTGACTTCGTGGCTCCTATGGGGCGGAAGCTATTCTTTACTTTATCCAGAATTTTTAAATACTTCGCATCTAGTTCCTCTGTTGCAGTCTCCTGAAATCAACGTTCGAGTTAGTATGTCTTAGTAACATAGCGAAAATCTAACCATGTCATCCTTTGCATTCTGCTTGTTTTCTCTAGCTTGCCTGGTTTTGGCAATAAGATCAGCTATAATGTCTTTACGGGTAAGCTTCTTTTCACTACTTCTGGTAGAATCGAGATCACCACCACCAAAGTGAGCAGCTTTGACCTAGGCATCGAATAAAAAAACAACAATGGCAAGTTTTAAAAGTGAATCCAGCTTACCACATCAGCACCGATGTTACCAGTATCGTCTTCGTCATCGGAAGCAATGATTTTGTCATATTTTTGGATAGTCGTCAATTCCCTTCCACCATGGGTAAGCGTCTCTAAGACTTGGAAATAAGAATTTACGGACTAATAAAGGAGAATTTTCCCGGTTAAAAAAAGATCAAGTGTGCCTAAAATTCAATAATATTGAGTGCATGTAATGCTAATGTGTTAGATGTCAGTCATTCGAGTCATGCCAAGGAACTTTTTTCCTCTAAAATATTCTAGTGTTCAGTTATATTCTGCGGTTCGAATGGTTTTTGAGTATAGTTAAAAGAAATAGTTACAAAGCAAGTACCTTGATCGTCATCATTGTCATCTGTTAAATTGAATTTGCTGCCTTTCTTCAAATGTTTGACTCGTTCTGCTGTGAATCTGAAAACCTTTGTAAGCTTCATTCATAACACATATATCTGAATCAAAAATACAATCTATTATCAAAAGAATACCTCAAAGAAGCCTTCTCCTCTTTGGTTATCTCTTGATTTTTCTCGCCTATTCGCTTGTCAATAATCTGAAATAAATTGTTTGGAATGATCATAACAGGAATTGAAGTATTCCATATCAAACGTTAGACTAGTTCTTACCTTATTAACGTTTCCTAGGCGATCATATTCAACTCCAATGGTTTTTGCTCGCTGTTCATATGCACGTTTGCGAGATAAACCAGGATGTCCAACACCAAGAGTACCTTTGTTCTT